TTTATTTCAAAATATTAATTGTGGGGTATAAGTATTTTTGTTGGATGGATACCTTGTATAATGTTTAGGGCTTTTGATGTGTCCGTCACCAGAATAGTGTTCATTGTACCCAAAAGGTAAGTTTTTAGCCCCCACCCTCCTCCCACCTTCCCCCTTTCTTTGTTTCTCATGTCCTTTTATGTTGCTTTGTGCCCATGTGTACCCATTTAGCTCCTACTTACTAGTGAGAACATATGATGTTTGGTTTTCCGTTCCTGAGATATTTAACTTAGGATAATGGTCTCTGGTTCCCTCTAAGTTGCTGTAAACGACATTGTTTCATTCCTTTTATGGCTGAGTAGTATTCCATGGTATATATATATATACCGCATTGTCTTTATCCACTCATGAGTTTAATCCTTGAACATTCAGCGCTAGTCCTGAGGCTTTAGGGGTGGTCGGGAAGGTCTTTAGTTAACATTTCAACTTCCTTAATGGTTATTGAACTGTTCAACTATATCATGTATATTTTAAAATGGAGAGGTTTTTTTTTTTTTACTTTCTAACCAATGACATTTAATTCAATTTTGTATGTGTATTTTAAATAAGTGATCATACATATATGTAAATAATGTCAAATAGCTGTTATAGCTGAAGAACCATTTTCAGGTGTATATTTGACTGGATTCATAAGTCCAGATATTGTGGCAGATTTGACCCAGTATTTTTTTTTTTGTTAACTATTATAACTAAAATTTATTACATTTATTTCTAGCAGATGAACCAGATGACCAAAGCTGGCTAGAACAGCATGTAGTTCATCAATACTGGACGGCTAGGCCCTCACGATTTCCTCATAGTTTACATTTGCACTCCAATTTAGCTACTGTCTGGTAAGAAGCTACATTTTTGTTTTAATGTAATGATAGAAGAAACTTTGATGTTTAAACATTTGGCTTTGATTTGTGATTTAAATCAAGTACTTCCCTGAAATTTAAACTTGTTAGTTTTTTTTAACAATTCTAATTGAACAGTATTTAATTATTTAATTATTAGTGAAAATAATGAAATTATAGTATTTAATTTTAATCTGTGTTTTGATTGTTTGTTTTTTTTTTTTTTTTGTTTGAGACAGAGTCTCGCTTTGTTGCCCGGACTAGAGTGAGCGCCGTGGCGTCAGCCTAGCTCACAGCAACCTCAAACTCCTGGGCTTAAGCAATCCTTCTGCCTCAGCCTCCCAAGTAGCTGGGACTGCAAGCATGCGCCACCATGCCCAGCTAATTTTTTCTATATATTTTTAGTTGTCCAGATAATTTCTTTCTATTTTTAGTAGAGATGGGGTCTTGCTCTTGTTCAGGCTGATCTCAAACTTCTGAGCTCGAGCAATCCTTCCGCCTTGGCCTCCCAGAGTGCTAGGATTACAGGCGTGAGCCACTGCTTCCAGCCAGACACAGTTGTTTGTTAAATGACGCTTACATCATGGTTTGTCAGACAGTTGTTCAGAGTTTTAAAATTAGCTTCCAAATTCAGGGCTACAGGAAACTGGCTTTTCAGCTCTAATTGCCAAGATCAACAGAAGGATGAGGCAAGAACAAAGAAGCAAGCTGTGACAAATACCTAGCTGATTTATAGAGACATTTGCAATAACCATTTTCCATATGAGAACACAAATGAACAAATAGCAGCATATGGCCAGGTTGTGTTTCGACTTCAGGAGTTCATCGATGAAGTCATGGGACACAGCTCCGAAAGCTTGCCACCCGGAAGTGGTTCTGTTCCTAAGAAGTCGACCGAAGCTCCTTTTAGAACCTACCAGGCTTTCATGTGGGCCCTATACAAATATTTCATTAGTTTCAAAGAGGAACTTACAGAAATTGAGAAGTGCATCATCAATAATGGTATTTAAATATTCTTCACTTTTACTCATGAAACACACAATTCATTTTTTTGTTTGTTTGAAGTCCTGTTTAGTTTGAATAGTTCATAATTTGAATGCCATTTAGGTTATTCATTGATATAAGGTTTGAAAGTTGCATAACACGTAAGTAATTCTCATGAGTGCATTTATTTTTAAAGTTTAAAATTTATATTTTTAAGCCATTCACCTCTTTAAAAATCAAAAAACTATAGAAGGATTTAGAGTGAAAATAATTCTTCCTGCTCTAGCTCCCGAGCCAGTCATTTCCCGTCCCCAGAGACAACCAGGTCCTCAGTGTCTTATACATCCTTCCAGAAGTAGTTTAGATGTACACAAGTGAGGCATATGCATGTACACAAACCCATAGTCGTTACACTACTCTTTAAGTTGTTTTCTAATTTAAAGTTTGGGGATTGTACTGTACAACTATGTAAAGAGCCTCCTTTTTCCTTTTTACAAATTGAGTGTTTCACCATATGATTGTATAATAGCCCGGACCTCCTTGATGGACATTTAAGTTGTTTCCAATCGTTTGCTGTTACCAGTAGGGCTGCAATGATAACCACTTAGACATATCCATAATCATACACATGGAGCAAGTTATCTATAGGGTAAGTTCTTAAAAATGGAATTCCTGGGTCCAGTGATATGTAATGGCATGTGTGATTTTGCTAGGTTTTGCCACATTGCTTTCCATGGAGGAATGGGAAAATAAATTTATACTCTTGCCAGCAGTGTATATGAATACCTGTTTGCTCACACTCTTGCCAACAGTGTGTGATCAAACTTCGGTCTTCACCAATGTGACAGGTATAAAATGGTAACCCAGTACAGTTTTTTTTCCCCCTTAACTTTTATTTTCATTTACCACAAAAAAATAGTGTAGAAAGGTCCCATGTTCCCATCACCTTACTTCCTTCAGTGGGGAAACCTTATGTAATTCTAGTACATGGTCAAGAGTGGGAAGCTGACACTGGCACAGCACATTAGCCAGACTGCAGACCTGACATGGGTTTCACCAGTGTGCAGGTACTTGATTCTAGTGGGTGACAGGGGGAGGAGTGATATCTTTGTGCATAGTTCTGTGCTGTTTTGTCATGTGTATAGATCTGCATAACTGCTTCCATGTTCAGGATACTGACCTGTGCCATCACCCCACAGGAACTTGCTTGTGTAGCCCTTCGTTGTCACCACAGCCTCCCATTGTGGGTGTTTTTGTTTTACCTGGTATAATTTTAATTTTCATTCTTTTATTATAAGTAAGGTTGAATGACTCTCTGTATGTCTAAGAATCACTTGTCTCTCCTTTTCTGTGAACTGTCAGTTCCTTTATACATTATTTTTCTGCTGAGTTGTCTTTTTCTCCCTAACTTGCAGTCCTTTCTTCCTTAGGGGAATTAGTTCCTTGCGATGTGAGATTAAAACCTACCATCCTCCATTTTGTCATGCCTTTCCATACGCCTAATAAGTAGCTTAGCATTTATGTCACATACTGCATGCTGATACTTTTCCTTGCTGTTGACTTTCATTTATTGATATTTGCAGATACTACAATAACTCTTGCAATAGTGGTGGATAAGTTGTCATCTCGGTTGGCTCAGCTCAAAGTTCTGCACAAAGTATTTAGTACTGGAGTAGCAGAAGTTCCACCTGACACTCGGAATGTTGTCCGAGCATCTCACCTGCTCAACACCCTGTACAAGGCCATCCTTGAATACGACAGTGTTGGAGAAGCCTCTGAGCAAACCGTATGTGGGACCTCTTCCTGGTCTAAAGTGTGTCACTCCATCCCGCACAGCAAAGGAGTGGTGGATAGCCACCACAGTTGTTTGTTTTATTTGATGACAGAGTCTTGCTCTGTTGTCCGGGCTAGAGTGCCATGGCGTCAGCCTAGCTCACAACAACCTGAAACTCCTGGGCTTAAGCAATCCTTCTGCCTCAGCCTCCCAAGTAGCTGGGACTGCAAGCATGCGCCACCATGCCCAGCTAATTTTTTCTATATATTTTTAGTTGTCCAGATAATTTCTTTCTATTTTTAGTAGAGATGGGGTCTTGCTCTTGTTCAGGCTGATCTCAAACTTCTGAGCTCGAGCAATCCTTCCGCCTTGGCCTCCCAGAGTGCTAGGATTACAGGCGTGAGCCAATGCTTCCAGCCAGACACAGTTGTTTGTTAAATGACGCTTACATCATGGTTTGTCAGACAGTTGTTCAGAGTTTTAAAATTAGCTTCCAAATTCAGGGCTACAGGAAACTGGCTTTTCAGCTCTAATTGCCAAGATCAACAGAAGGATGAGGCAAGAACAAAGAAGCAAGCTGTGACAAATACCTAGCTGATTTATAGAGACATTTGCAATAACCATTTTCCATATGAGAACACAAATCTGTTATATGAGTTCCCTAAAGTAGCCACATTCGTAGAAACAGAAAGTGGAATGGTGGTTACCAGGGCCAGGAATGGGGAGTTGTTTATTGGGTACAGAGTTCCAGTTTTACAACATCAAAAAGTTCTGGAGATCTGTCACAACAGTGTGAATGTACTTAAAACCACTGAACTTAAAACTTAAAAATGGTTGAGATGGTAAATCTTACGTTATACTTTTTTACCACAATTTTTTAAAAATACAAATCTAGAGACTATAATCTAGAAAGCTGCAGGCTTGTTTGGGTGCATATTTTCGGATACTTTCTAGTTTGTTGGTGTAACTTTATCTTCTCGTGGTTTGGTATTGCAGTTCAATAGAAAGGAGGTTGATTTCTCTCAGTGCTGCCATTTTTGTCCCTTTTTGAGAACTGTAGGAGAGTGAAGTAATCTCAGTTGTAGTAGATACTGTGCTGGTAGTACTTTTTAGATCAGGAAACCATATCTGTTTGCCTGGGCTGTCCCAGGTTAACCTGCTTCCCTGTGTAATGCTCACTCTCAAGAGGGTCCCTGTATGGACTAAAACAATATGGTCATCCCATATTTAGGTGAGTTTTTCATAAGGATTTTATAGTGTATGTTTTTGGAATTTTAGTTTCTTACTTTGTGTCCAAAAAACAGAGAAATCTGATTACTTTTTAAAAGGCATTTCAGTACTGTTTGAACCTCATTTTACCTAGTGATCAGGTCGCTCTGAGAGTTAACTTGTGTGCACTCTGGACCTCAGGTCTCCCTCCTGTTCTCTCTCTGGGTGGAGACAGTACGGCCCTACCTGCAGACAGTGGACGAGTGGATTGTGCACGGGCACCTGTGGGACGGCGCCAGGGAGTTCATCATCCAGAGGTGAGGCAGAGGTTGCAGCCAGGAACACAGGGCACACAGGGTGCTGGTTTTGCTAATTTGCTCCTGCATGAAAATCAAGTGCTTTCGTTAATTTCAGGTAGTACTGAGAAAGCACAGTTTGAATGACAGAGCTGTATTGTCACCATAGGCAAGTTCTGTGTCATTTTTATAGATATCAGTACCAGCCAATTAAAAATATCTTTGTCCAAGTTTTATGTCAGTTCATAGCTTTTCTTTAGCAAATTATATTTTTGGATGATTTATGGCTGACTGGTGTGCTAAAATGCACACTGCTTCACATAAAATGAATTTAGGTGATATCAGATGGCTTCAGTTATTCCCATTGTAAATTATCAATACATTAAAAGCCATGAAAATGTCAAATGTATGCCTCTAATATAGTTATTTCTCAGAATTTTTTTACTATCAGTATAATATTTAATAAAACAATTAAGGAAAATGTCAATCCATTTATGATGATTTCCCTTCAGTTAATTGATTTTTCTGAATAGAATCATATAAACTGCAATATAGGACTACTTGTACTCTTTTAACTCAGTTTTAAGTTATGCAATCTGTTTGAATGTATGGTTTCTATTGATAGCTATCTGTTGAACTCATCAGGAAGGATAACTTTAAGTCCTTAGTGTTCTGGAAGGGTAACACTGTTTACACAGGGCTCATATGTAAATGAACTGGCCTTCCTTCAGCTAAGTCTCATGTCTGTCACTATGTCCTGTTTCATCAATCTCACTTGAAAATTTTTGTGAAAACGGGATTCTGACTATTCTTCTAAGGTGATGAGTGACCATAATTTCATTGTTGGAAGCTGTCTAGTGAAGAGTCTTTCTAGGGAAAAAAAGGTAGAGATGTCTGCAAATTATTTTCACAAGAGATGGTAAATGGGTAAATTTTATTCTACTTTTAAAGAGGACCAAATTAGTCTTATTTTGTTTAATTCCAATTTAGGAAACTGTACTTAAATTTTACCTATATTATTCAGAGTATTTATCTGCTTTTCTGTGCTAAACTGAGTCCAGATTAAAACTGCTCCATTTTGCCCAAAGATTGCATTCATTTTGGAATGTCTGGACAGCATACCTTAGCTAGAATAGGTATAGTATTGTTTTTTAGGAAGAGAAGTTAAAGTTTAAAATTCTTTTGACTCTCTTTAGAAACAAAAATGTTCCGGTAAATCATAGAGACTTCTGGTATGCAACTTACACATTATATAGTGTATCGGAAAAGACAGAAAATGAAGAAAAAATGAGTGATAACGCTAGTGCGAGTTCTGGCAGTGATCAGGGGCCCTCCAGCAGACAGCACACCATGGTGTCCTTCCTCAAACCTGTCCTGAAGCAGATCATAATGGCTGGAAAGTCAATGCAGCTGCTGAAGAACCTGCAGTGCGCAGAGAGCACCACGTGCCAGGCAGCGGCCAGAGGTAGCCTGTTCCTTTTTCATGTGTCTCCTCAGTGTCAGGACAACTGCTCTCTGTTCACTCTTGTCATCCTGAGATATCTACTGTTTTGTAGTTTGAAAGTCATCAAAGCCTCTTATTTTAGTGGAAATTATTGCCATGATTGAATTAATAATCTTGCTGCTCTTGATTGAACAAAAGATTTTCATCATTGGAAACTTTTAGCACTGTGTTTGAAAAGGCAGTGACAACAAGTTCCACATACATTCTCCTTTTGATTCCTTAGGACTGGTGCTTTAAAAAATAATTCTCTGGCATTTTTCTTTTAGTTTATTATTATTTAATTGACACATATCAATTGTACATATTTATGGGGTACATAGTGATGCTGCGATTCATGTAATGAACATATAGTAATCAGATCATAGTAATTAGCATATTCATCATCTCAGACATTTATCACCTCTTTGTGTTGGGAATATTCAATATCCTCCTCCTAGCTATTCAAAACTATAAAATGTATTATTGTTAACAATTGTCATCCTATAATAGTGTAGAACAGTCAAACTTACTCCTCCTATCTAGCTGTGATTTTGTATCCTTTAACAAATCTCCCCTATCCCTCCTTTATCCCTACCCTTCCCACCCCCTAGTATCCTCCGTTCTACTTTTAACCTCTATAAGATCAACATTTTCTAGCTTCCACACGAGTGGGGACATGTGGTTAAACTTCTGTTCCTGGCTTATTTCACTTAACATAATGTCTTTCAAGTTCCATCAATGTGGTCACAAAAGGCAGGATTTCATTCATTTTTATGTCTGAATAAAATGTCTCTTGTGTATATATACCACATTTTCTTTATCCATTCATCTGTTGTTGAACACTGAAGTTGATTCTGTATCTTGGCTATTGTGATTAGTGCTGCAATAAACATAGAGGTGCAGATGTCACTTCAACATACTGATTTCCTTTCCTTTGGATAAATGCCCAGTAGTGGTCACATGATAGTTCTGTTTGTGGTTTTTTGAGGGACCTCTATACTGTTCTCCATAGTGTCTGTACTAGTTTACATTCCCACCAACAGTGTATGAGTTCCCTTTTCTCAGCATCCTCCCCAGCATTAGTTATTTTTTGTCTTTTTGATAATAGCCATCTTAACTAGGGTGAGATGATACCTCATTGTGCTTTTGATTTGCATTTCCCCAATGATTAGTGATGCCGGACATTTTTTCATATATTTGTTGGTCATTTGTATGACTTCTTTGGAGAAAAATCCGTTCAGATCATTTGCCTGTTTTTAAATCAGATTTTTTGTTGTTTTTACTGAGAAGTTTAAATTTCTTGCATATTTTGGATATTAATTCACTGTTGGATTAATAGTTTGCAAATAATTTCTCCCATTCTGTAGGTTGTCTTTTCACTCTGTTGATTGTTTCCTTTGCTGTTCAGAATGTTTTTAGTTTGGTTTAGTCCCATTTGTTTTTCTTTTGTTGCCTGTGCTTTTGAAGTCTTATTCCTAACCTGTTTCCCAGACCAATGTCCTGAAGTGTTTCCCCTATGTTTTCTTCTAGTCGTTTCATAGTTTTGGGTCTTACATTCAGGTCTTTGATCCATTTTGAGTTGATTTTTCTATAGTGTGAAAGGTAGGGCTCTAGTTTTATTTCTCTGCATATTGATATCCAGTTTTCTCAGCATCATTTATTGAAGAGTCTGTCCTTTCCCCAGTGAGTGTTCCTGGCACCTTCATCAAAAATCAGTTGGCTGTACATACATGGATTAATTTCTGGGTTCTCTATTCTGTTCCATTAGTCTGTGTGTCTGTTTTTATGCCAGTACCATGCAGTTTTGGTAACTACAGCTTTGTAGTATGTTTTGAAGTCTGGTCGTATAATGCCTCCAGTTTTGTTCTTTTTGCTCAGATACCTTTGGCTATTTAGGGTCTTTTGTGGTTCCATACAAATTTTAAGATTTTTTTTTCTATTTCT